TGTTTTACTTCTTATTTTGAGCTTTCAGTATTTACGTATGCATGAAATAATTGAGAAACATTTAAGCCAACAATATATTTTTTCCTTTAACTTCTTATGAAAATTGTAAACATGTTATTGCATATTAATACAGTATATTATCGATAGATTTGTAATTGTTGATTTAAAAAGAGTATAAATATTTTGGTTAGCCAATATCTATATATCTAGTATTAAATATGTTTGTGTCCAAAAACACGATCACTCTAGTAATTTTGGTCTGATTTTGATGAAATTTAGCTTGAAGGTGTAGTCGGGATAGACTTCCCATGCTACTCATAAGGAGCAAAACAAAACTGTTGAAGCTTGCTTGTTTATGGATATTCGTCGATTAAATTTGGCAAATTTATTTATTTCATCTTATACTATTAACATTTCGACAAAACACCTTTCCTTCCCTATAGCAGCAAACCTAAGAACTCGTCAAATCGAATGTTATTTAAATGGGGAATAAATATGTCTTCTTTATGGAAATATTTTAGGGAAAATCAAATCAGACAAATTGAAATTCACTTAGCCTGCAGGTTTGCTGCGGTGGTTTATTTAATTATTCCAATTAGTTTTAAAATAGTATTAATATGTTACATTTGATTGAATATCTGTTGGTTACTTTGGTAACTAAATAGCTCCTACACCCAATACGTTGTCCTTCATAAACTGCTTGTTAATAGATATATCTTCATACAATTAGGCAATTATGTTTACTTTATTTTAAGGTTTTAAAATTAAATAAAAGCCACAATATATAGGTGAATTGATATGTCAATAGAGCAAAATGTTATTCATATAGCGTTGGTCACTAAGTGTGATTTCCTTTGGTCACAACCTTTTAGAATACAAATAAATAAAGCAGTAGTCACATTGGGTAAGTGGACTCACAGCGACGAGAGGATTCAAACCTCTCGGTCATCAAGAAGATATATTCAGGGTACTAAAACGTGTTAATTTAGTTCAATTTTCAATCCATTCTTGTTGTATTTTTATGCAAGCTTTTAAGTGGAAGTAAGGACCGATTGAGGTTGGAAATTATGTTTGGTTAGAGATAACATTTAACAACAAACCGTTGTTTTATATTGTTTCAAACAGCAAGCAGTCCTATCTATAAGAAAGTCAAAGGTCAGACCACAATCTACCAAATGATTCCTTGGGCTGGCGTGTCTTTCTCACTTATTTAGTTAATGTTTCCTCAAAGCTCGATCTATGTGGTACTAATCCTTGTTGTTGCTGACTATCTCATCTTGGTTCTTATTGTGAATTTTTAGCGAATTTCCCATATAGGGAATAAGCTATTACCGTAGTACTCATGGTAAGACCTGGACCCGGGACCGATTTACTTTTTCGTTTTGAGGTCCCAAAAAACAAAAAAACACCATCCGTTTAAATTCATATATATATATATTTATATATGTGCCCGTTAGCACGATAACTCGAGCCAAAATCATTCGATTTTGATTAAATTTGGTACAAACGTGTAATGTAAACCTACGTTTATTCGAACGAGTTCGAGAACCAGCATGATTGGACCATGGTAACAGGGGACTATGGGGGTTTTATGGGGCAACAATTGGGTTTTCCCTTTTTTGACCCTAAAAACTTAAAATTTAGCATTTTCTTTCCTAACCATTTTGTAGAGCTTAAAAAAACAAATAATTTAGTACTTTGAAGTGTTATTATGCGCCTAATGGTTACAGAGAAAACTCCAAAAAACTGTAAATTTAAAATTCCCATGTCATTCTTATGGAGAATAAGTAAACTGTTGTAGTTTGCTTGTTTATGATCATATTTTGATCAAATTTGGAAAATGCATTCATTTCATACTAAACTACTAACATTTTACAAAAAAAACACCTTTTTACCTCCCTGTTGTAGCAAAACTAAGTACTCGTTAAACTAATGTTATTTAAATAGGGAATAAATTTGATATTTTTAAGGAGACATTTTAGTGTAAATCCAAACGGGCAAATGGAAATTCGCTTAGTCTGCAGGTTTGCTGCGGTGGGGGTATTTTATCATATTTAAGTTTTTTATTCTCATTTAAGCATGTGATCTTTTACTCAAGTTCTTAATCTGCATCCTTTTTAACATTAATAAACTGTTAATCAAGAAATTACTGATAACTGATCGCTACGTAAAACTCTAAAAAAAAACCATCTAAATGGGGATTTGTCTATATTATAAGATCCCCTCAAAAATAAAATCCTATACACCACAAAAATTTAAAATTTGGACGAAAGCATTATTTGTGGAGAAATCATACTTCCTGGCAGATTTCCTAAATGACCGTGACATTAATTGACCATTAGTTTATGTGAAATATTACACAGAATGTTTTAAATAGTTTTTTCTCTGATATTGCTTCAAGATCTTCATTTAAATTTGTCTTTTTTTCTAACTTTTTTTGAATTGTTAACTTTCTCTCAATTTTACTGTTCTTGTTGTATTTTGTTGTAACTTTTTAGTTTTAGTTTTTATAACTTATTGATTGACCATGCATTTGTTCACCATTGCCTTTGTAATGAAGAATGTTTTATGCAATAAAATGCTTATGACTTATGTACCTTATCCTACTTATATAACGTCACGTCAACGATTGTTTTCTTAAACAAATGGTAGGTATATTCATTCATGATTGGAAGAAGGTAATTTTTAATTATTATTACTATGAAATTACGAGGAAACTTTTCTCACCCATACAAATTGAGAATCTCATTGTAATTTGTAAAAATCGACCAGAAAAACTACCTACAATAATAACTATGAATAATAAATTGACTATATTTATTTCTTGTAACGTTATCATTGTACTTATTTAGTCATAGTTATATTTAAAACGGCACAAGAAACAATACTGTCCCAGGAATAATAATGTTGAATACAACAACATTGTAATAATAGCTTATTCCCTGTATGGGAAATTCCCTAAAAAGAGGCATTGTTTATTAACCAAGATAATTAAGAAAAATCTTCCCTTACAATGCCCTTTATCGTCTTTAGACAGATAAAAGCTCTGAAAATGCGTTGATATTATTCTTGTAACACCTTTATAAGACAGTGTTCGTCATAACAAAAATTATCGAATTAGGAATTACTAAACAGCTTTTATATTCATGATGATGCAAATGCGAATACTGAACTATTTTAGAGAAAACTCGGTAGGTAGCTAGGAGGATTGTATGTAGGCATACTGAGTAGAATGGGCCCATGTTTCGTTGGTACAAACATCGGATATGCAGTCGTACAAACTGCACAGTGGATATTGTCATACGATGGTCTAATAGTGCTTTCCATCGAGACTATTCACCTACCATTCACTAAACCGAGCCTTCATTCAATGTCAGAGCAGAACAATAAATTTACTTGCGCCATTACTAACTTCATATAGTTATATTTTGGCTGTAATAACGTTGTCAATACCATACAAAATTGCCACCAGAGTTCGTTTATGTACAACAAGGAATTCAGAATTGAAAAATCTGAAACTATTAATTACCTGATTATTTGTTATACCAATTTTAGTGTTAATTCAGTTCCATTGATGCTATAACATAGCAATTTTAATGGTTGATAGATAAATAAATAAAATTACGTTGAGAACCACATCTCGTATACAATACCATAGAAGATAAATTCTTCTTGGGCAAGGATATTTCCATTATTGTAATGTTTATATGTGTAATGAACGATCATAATTTGATTGCGGCAGAATAGTACGAAGAATAATTGGTTACTAATAATAATAATAGTACTACTAATAATAATTTTCATAAGTTTTCCAGTGATTAAAATTTAGGTTAGGTTGAGCCATCCATACATTTGAAGTAGCGATCATCATAAACTAAACAATATACGTTCATTGTTTTTTATATTGTCTTATCTAGCTTTGTTTATTTCAAACGTTTCCCAGAAAATCTAGAATGCTTAATATTTACATCACAGCAGTTCTAATAATTCAATGAAACATATATGATCGAAAATATTACCATTTCGAGTGGGCGATCTACAGAAGGTAACACAAATATATTAATTAGCTGTTAACAAGAACCTATATAAAAATACTATTATAGAGTGAGGAAAGGTCATAACCTTAATCGTCCTATTTGATTTGATAATTGGCATGTAAGAAAGAAAAAACATAGATATCATCATGTGTATTATAATTTCGGGTGTGACATTAAACAATACCACTAGGAACGTTCAAATGAAAGAGTTTGATTTCACAGACATTTGTGTTGAGATCTTCGCGTTGATAGCATATCATTGTTTAATTTCTCACATACTTTTACTGCATACTTTAACTTCCTATGTTTACTCCTGGCCTTTGACGAGCTATTGTTTATCCCAAACATCCAAAAAATCAGCACAATAAATATTTAGAAGTTGATTTGATGTATATTCTGAAGTGGTGGGTTCTTCTTTTTTGGCTTATAAAACATTACACATGGTAGCCAGGTGAAGTTATATTATGAATTTACGGAGAAACTATGTTTATAAAGAATCTGAGTTCGAATCGATGTTTGGATATTGACACAGGGCAATTTACAAGATTAATTATAGATTCTGTTAAGTGTAGGTAACTGATACTATATAAATTATTATATACATTTAGGCCTATATAATAATTAATAGAGTAATTAGTAAAGTATACAATCAGTCAAATCGTATATGTATTTGTTTCATGTTCCTACACTCCTGGTACAGTCTCACCATGTGGTGACCTAGGGATCGAGGTTATAAAAATGTGTATTATCAATGGTTTGTTTATGTTTACCGATTCAGCATATTATTTGACTCTCCCCTCTAATACATTAGATTAGATCTTAACGTCGAATACATTCTCTTGCGAACTACCCTAGGACTCGCGGTAATACAAATCAACTCATCCAGTTCAGATTGCAAACTTAGCGAGTTAAGAAACAACATGTGGAACTCCGACTACGGACAAACTCAGCATATCAACCTACCTCTCTTTCTTGTACGTTTTCTCCGCTTCCTGGTCTTCTTTGCACCCATAATTTGCTGGGGAGGCGGCTGGACGTCGACCAACGTACCTGACGAGTACTCTAGTATCTTCATCATCACACACATCAACACTAACAACATGTTTGGTCCGGTTGTAGGACTCTCAACCATCTGCACACTATACGCGTCGCTTGACCACTGGTACCACTGCTGTTGTTGATAACAAATCAGTCAGTTTTCAGTTGGTACTACTGCTGGTTATCTGTAAATACTCCTCCCAACCCTATCAGACCGATCCCTGATCACACACGAGTGTACAGCTAATGTTATCATGTGATAAATCCGGAAATGATAAGTATAATCGGGGTAACATCAAAATAAAAGATAAAGCAAACGTAGAGGAAATACGAAATGAATATCGTTACAGATGACTTACCGTTCTTTAACCTGATTTTTTAAAGTGAGAAATATTTAAATTATAGTTTACAAGCTTTACTATTTTTGGTAACAATACAGAATTTCTCATGCACGTAAAAAAAGAATGTAATTTTTAATTATACAAGTTTTGTTTTAGTTTATGGAATTTGACGCTATAATACAGAGTTTTAGGGGCGAAAATACAATTTGTTTCAACAATAAAGCTTTCCACAATACACAGATTAATAAATAGTAGGAGTTTAAAGCATGGCAAGTGAAGGAAAGTTTTTCTTGGAAAAGTTCCAAAAACTAATTATCTTGTCATTAAACCTCAATATGAAACTCAAATATATTTATTCCTAGCTACCTGGTAAAATAGTAATCTAAAGGTTTAGTAAACCAAATGTGGTTGGAAAATTACGTAAAATATGTCAAATTATTCTTTAGAAGTATACAAAGAAAACAATTTATTTATAGTTTTTAGAGGCCACAACACAAAGAACCTTGTAGACCGACTAACATAGCAGATGAAGTTAGAGCGTTTTAACTCCACAATAACGATACCTAATCAATCCTTACCGGCCACAACAACAATAACTTCAACAATACAATACAAAACAACGCACAACTCAACGCGCACAAACAGTTAACGATTCAAAATGGCGTCCCACGAAGCGAGCAGCACTCTCAAACCCAGACTCCTACTGATGCTGGTCTGCTCTTTATTAGTTTATAAATAGACTAGTTACTCTCGTCTCTGGTCTGGGAGCGTGAGTCTCCACACATCTCAGAGATCCCCCCCTCCCCTCCACAGCACCACCAGGGTGATACATCACTATCAGTTCAAGTGATAAGTGATATCAGTGTGGGTGATAGAGGCCACTTTGGACCTCGGTCTCAGCTAGACATAGCATCTACACAAATCACAATTTGACCTTAACCTATACCTTATTGCATATCTATACAAAATGCCTTTATATTACCAGAGACAAACAGAAAACATATGTGTCCTATATATGAAAACCGACAAGGGAATATAAATTGCTGCTTCTATGTAATCCAATAGTTGCAAGGTCACGCAACTAGTTACTAGTTTCAACTTCATAAAGAAGTCATCTTCAGGTGTCCAGTGGATGTCAAAATCGCGTCATCAGAAGGTCATCGATACACATATTGTACATTTACACACAAACACGAACATAGTTACGTAAAAGAGGTACATTTACAACGATTATAAGACGAAAAAATTGTAACTTAGGGATGTTGTCACGATCGGGTGGATGTAGCGTCTTAAGGGAAGGTTGAACGTGTCTTTTTAAAGGTAGGGGAACGGGTTGGCGTAGTTTAGTTTGTTGACATCCGTTAGTCATCTACATCATATAGAATTTTAAAGGAGTCAGTGGTTCGTGTGCGCCTTTCTGTCAGGCACGTAACACACCAAAACAATCTTCAGATTTCACTCAGTCCAGTAAGGTTTCAGCTCTCTGGATTGGAACGTCACGAAGAACGAGAACATTGGGATTAAATGTTTATTTGTAGTATCTAAAGTTGCTAATGCATTAAAAAGGAAGCAAACTAAATCAGACACAAGGAACTATCCAATATAAAATAAGTGATTATGTAGTTAACTTATGCCATCTATGTCATTACTAAAACTTTTGAGTCAAAAGTTTTGACAATGGATAGAAATAGACATCCCCAAGTTGATGTCGTGGCATGTTTTGGAATTAAAATTAACATTGTAGAGTCGAACCACCGACACAGTGCTACATCTGTGCACTCTCTTGAATTACTGATTCATGACGAATAAGGCAACTTGTTAAACTGAAAGGGCATATTGTAGTAGACTATACATCCCTTATATCACATCTACTGTCAATGACCACAATGTAAGGGAGAAAATTGAATTTTAAACTATGAGTGACCTATTCGACTGTCTTCCTAGGAGAAAGATTGGGTACGACTAGTCCTACGGTATGTCTACTTCTATACAACACTAATAGTTTGCACGGGTTTAAAATTAGTTAGCGTTGCAAGTTACAAAACTTCGCTATCGATCTTACTGTAGTTTTCTCAGTTTTACTTATCCGAACACTGCAGTTGCTTGGCTGCAGTATAGCCAGTGCGGTTTGTGTTGAATCTTGCCATTGCGCTGCAGTCGTTGTAATTTGTTTTATAGATAAATTCTTCTAGACCAGACTATTCTTTAATCATTTCCGACCTATTGCTATTAAATTTCACACACGTGTACGTTATATTTTAATGTAACTCAAAAAATGTTAGTTTTTAGAAAATACTGAAAATAGTTTATTCTCACTGGTTAAGATGAAATACTGAACTTGCTATGTTGGAGTTATTTGTTATACTGTAGCTATGTGTGTAATTGTGTGTTATCCGTGTATATTGATTATTCCACTTGTCAACAATAATGTATTTAATAAAAATTTATCTCTTAAGAGTATCATATCGGACACTTAATGGTTGTCATGATGAAAATATATTTAATGCAACTGTTGCATTTGTAAATTGATTCCATAGATCAAGATTCATTAAGCAGTATGCTAACTAAAAGAAGAGCTCTATAAATTTTCCCCGTGTAAATGTTATCAACATAACCTAAAAATATCTCAAATTAAAAAGTACCACAATTAATGCTTTAACATTGTTTAATTTTATACTGAAATATATCAAATAACAAAACAATCTAAATGCCTTGGTTTAGTTTGTATATTCAATTTGTGTAATAATTAATGCACATATTGAAACAAAATATAATAAATATATTCAGAAACGGACTACTTATTTGACAAGTCGAGTGTGAAATTTGTAAAAATAAACCCCAATTTGTCATACCTATCTAATTATTTATTATCTTGAGTCGACTGCATTAAGATGATACTGTTCGTACCATCTGTAACTTAAGTAGTGAAATTGTTTATTTATAGAATTGAAAATTTTGTTAAAATACTTTGGATATCTAATTATCGACTGTTTACTTAAAAAAAATAATCAAATTTCACTTTGGCAGGACAAATGTTTGGTTATTGGAGGTACAGCACAATTATTGAAGAAAGTAGAAATGTAAATTTAATATTTTTTCTCAAATTTGCTTTGCTTGTTTAGCTAAGCGAATATTCCTTCAATATTCATAATTTCTTAGATACCTTTACCTGTCAATGACGCAAGCAAAAGTCGATTTCAACTGTATCATGACGTCACATATGAAATATTTTCGAAGATTTGATACTCTGAACAAAGATACACACAGCATCTAACCTTCCTAATCAACCGAGAAGCTCATGATGTGTACATGACTTCCTGTGAAATCTAAATCAATAGATGTCAAGATGAGTATTTTTATCATGATTGAGACATAAGTCTTGAGGACGGAACCTCCCACAGTGAGGATCCGGGAGTGAAGAAGGTGGAACTGAGCCAACGAAACGTTCTGGAGTGCGAGGCACAAATAAACACTAGTCTGCCAGGACAGTCAGACAGTCCTAACAAGAAAACATGTACAGCTTACATGCTCATTGTAAACTAACTTCGAAAAAGTTACATACAGTACAATACACCCTCTTAACCGACCCCTGGAAATTGTCAGATACACTGAAATGCCAATTAAAACTTTTCTACTAACCTTGGTTTAAAATGGAGGACTATGTTTAGAAGTTAAATTAAAATACTGTATCAATAAATCTAATTCGGGTAATGTGATTGAGAAATTTTGCTGTATTCATGAATGCTTAGTTTTGCAGTGATTTATTGAACACACTATACTCTAATAACAATGTAGGGAAAATTATCGTATAGGTGGCATACCTATTTCAATTTACTGTGTTGTACCTCCTCTTCATACATACTTTTAAAGAAACACACGCAGTTGAATTCAACCACGTTGACTATCATCTATTTATAATATTATGTATTTCTTTTATCTATAATATCATGTACGATCTCGCTCTGAAATTTACTTGAAAAATCGGGTTTGCAATAAAATTAGATCTTTATGTACACTATTTTACATGCGGTAAGGATGGGAAAAGAGATCTCGATATTGGAAAAGTCGCCTAAGCCAACCACTTTAGAACTTAGGTTGGATAAACGATTTATTTTTTGCCCGGGTAGAGGCGGTCAGAGCTTTGCCCGTGCTCTGGTAAAGGGCATGCCCATAGACAAAATAATTCCCTTCAACGATAATCATCGGTAAATTCACATACATTCATCTGGAAGACCCCCTCAACAACAGCATTACAATAATAATAATGACTTTGTAAGAAATGTCTTGTAGTCTCTTTGTTTTGCTTAGAGAAACAGCACAATTGATTTTGTGTCTAACAAAACGATATTTTAATCCCCGAGGTTTGAGGACGATAAACTCGGTGTCAAGGAAGGTTCGATCCTTAACGTATCTACAAAGATTTGAGGGGTTTGGATAGCTTTCCCTAAAATGGCTTTGTATTTTCCCTTACAAAATACCTCCGTGTATAATTGTTTTTTACTTCTTAGGAGACACAGCAACGATTCGGGACTACATTAGTCGATGCTATTGAATGAAAATAAAACGCGTTCAAAAGATTTACATATGAGATCAACTACTACAAAACCTTACCAATTATGATAGATATACTGAAGAACATTTTAAATATCCGAAGTGTGCAGATTGCGGCAATCCTACATACTGGCTCGCTTAGTATCTGTTATGACGGGAAGTATAGGATTTATGACTGTTTTTAGCTTATACATTTATCAAAAAACCCTTAATATTAAATCAAACCATGATAGATTGCCAAAATAGAATTCTGCTCATACGTATTCAACCAGAGAAGTAATGAATTGGCGTTCAACAGACATTAATTTATCGGTTTACGAAAA